CTGCCGCCGTGAGGAGAGGGCTCGCCGCCGGGTAGGTCCGCCGCACTTGTGGAGGGCTGGTGGATCGGGGGAAGGCTCTGGGCTCCAAATGATAAGGAAATATCCTGTCACATGGGGTGTTTTGAAATAACAGGAATTCGCTGCTCAAACTTTTGCTTTCCTAAGCTGATTTCTCAGCGGAGGGAAGAGCCTCCTTCCGTGCACATGCAGGTGATAAAGCGGTGATAGCTGAGAGGAGGGTTTTTACTCCCTCTGCGGCACTGTCAGTGTGGCGTGTGGGTCAGCTGCTGGTTTTCCAAGAAAATGAGCCCTCCAGGGAGGACAGAGAATAGCAGCGATGTCAAACTAGTGCTGAAAGAGCAGGATATTTCCCTCCTTTCTCTTGGAGGTGAGCGCAAATCAGAAATAAAATCTAAGCTTGTGTATGTGAATGACCAGGTTTCTCATGAGTACGAAAGCTGCCGACCTCAGAGAGACCCGCTTTTGGAAAGTAGGATTTCAACTGTTCCTCCTCCTCCTTCACTCCTCCCCCGTGTGTGAAAAGGATGCCTTAATTGCAGTTTCCCTGGTGGGACAAGACAACTAGGGTGCCGCAGAAAAGCAGATTGTGGTTAAAAATCACAGCCTTGCTCAGCAGAACTATGCAAGGTGCAGCATGGCATTTACGGGGTGAAAAAGAAAAGCAAAAGAGGATACACAGGCTTCAAAGCTCTAGCTAGGCACTAATTTTCAAGACACAAAGCATTATAGCATGTTTTCATGAAAATGTGCAGCGCATGAATTTATTTGATTTTTGTTCATCATCTGCTATGTGCAATTAGTTTTACATCTGTAAACATTGGCTTTCACAACATCATTTTAAAACAAGTTCTGATTACTGTCATTATTTTGCTTTTGTGCACTAAGGCTCATGTTAGATTATTTAATACTGAAAGTCTGAGCCTGATTTCTTGCCTGTTTGAGTAAATTCACTGGGAATCTTGCATGTCTGAGGAAGAAGAGAGGAGGACCAAAGCACCTATTCTTTAAATATACCTGCAGTGTTTTCTGAGCTCTGATAAATCAAATTCAACAAATTTTCTTCTTTTTATTCTTCTGACTTTGGTGACTGTTCCTACCTGGTGGTGT